CTCGCCTCCTCTCCCCCCTCCCAATCGCCACCACCGCCGCCGTATTCCCCTCCCGCTTCCGCATCCCCGCCGGTACACGGCTCCTCTCCCCGCCCGTCTCGTTTTCTTCTCTGGTCATCGGTCATGTGGCCTTGTCGTAACGTGGTGTCTCGTGGTTTCATTTTTGTTTACCGTCCCAGTCGCGCCGCGTCAGGCGCTCTTCGGCGGAAGAGTAGGGTTGAGGGTGCCCGCGAGACTGTCAACGAGGGGAGTGAGCGCCGGCGCGGAGGCGAGCGGGCCCGCAGCTCGAGCGGCCACGGTGATCAGCCCTGAGGAGGCCGTGGAGTGGGTCAAGAAGGACCGGAGGCGCCTGCTCCACGTCGTCTACCGCGTCGGCGATCTTGACAAGACTATCAAGTAAGTAAGCCGACCCCATCCCTCGTTCGCGATGAATTTGCCTTGACCTCTGCGGTTTCGTCAATTTCGGATGGGGTTGCTGTCCTCTAGGTTTTATACGGAGTGCTTAGGGATGAAGCTGCTGCGGAGAAGGGACATCCCGGAGGAGAGGTACACCAACGCCTTTCTTGGGTACGGACCAGAGGACTCGCATTTTGTTGTGGAGCTCACTTACAGTAAGCTTCAAATGTCAAAACACCCATGTCACCTCTTTGTCTTCCAGAGACTCTACTTTTTTCTATTGAATTAACTCGCGAATTCATTTACTGGCAGACTATGGTGTCGAAAGTTACGATATTGGGTCTGGTTTTGGTCATTTTGGAATTGCTGTTGAGGATGTAAGATTCTATCTCCATAGATTTTTTTTAGTTGTTGAGGTTCAGTACTATGTCAGTCGGCCTAATATTTTTACTTCTGCTTTCTGTAGTTAAGCAGCACTAATCGCGTGTCAAGTATAAGTAGCTCATCTATAACTTTCTTCTACATGAATGAGCTCAGGTTCAAAACACCCACAAGTTCAAGCACCAAATCCTAGTTGTATTTGTGTTTCCTTTTCATTGACAGTTATGTCCCATGAGCCTAAGGAATATCTAGCCATGCACCATTCTTTTCTGAGGTGTTAACGCTTAACTACAGACTTAGCCATCCAGCCATTTTCTAAACAAAAATTGGGGCTGTTATTTCATGAGATGTGTTTGGTTTCCCCATATTTTCATGTCCATTACTAACATAGATTGGACTGGAGTGCTCATGAGCCCCAAGGAACCTTTCGTTTGGGGAGGTGAATGGGGCTTGAAGTTGTGCAGTATAACCTCCGAACATCTGGGATGCATGTTTAGGCAGGATTTATCTTGACTCAAGCTAGGATGATTGTGAATACCTTCGGTTTCTTCCATGGAAATTATGTTAAGAGTCTTCAGTAAGAACTAATAAATGATAAAGGGCAACCTGGTGCATGTAGCTCCCGCTTGCGCAGGGTCCAGGGAAGGGTCCGACCACTTTGGGTCTATAGTACGCAGCCTTTCCCTACATTTCTGTAAGAGGCTGTTTCCAGGACTTGAAACAGCCTCTTACAGAAATGTAGGGAAAGGCTGCTAAGCAGAAATGATTTTTTTTCTTTTACCATCAACTTTTGATTTGTTTGTATTAGGGATTTACTCCCTCCGTCCCAAAATAAGTGTTGCTGACTCAGTACAACTTTGCACTAAAGTTATACTAAATCATGAGACTTTCTTTTGGACGGAGGGAGTATTACTGCTTATCATTATCTTCAGCCATGGTACTCAAATGTTTCCTGTATCAGGCTAGTCATTGTTTTAACTGTTACTGGAAAACTATATGTACCTTCTCTGGATTATTATGTGTTAAAATTTCAACATCTTATCCATTAGCAATATGTTGTATGATTTATTTTTCCATATGCATACATCCATAAGAGCTGGCCGGAATATTAAATTTCATTGCTAGAATATTGCAGGTCGAAAAAACAGTGGAACTTATTAAAGCAAAGGGAGGAACAGTAACAAGGGAACCAGGTCCGGTAAAAGGTGGAAAGTCAGTCATTGCCTTCATTGAAGATCCTGATGGTTACAAATTCGAGCTTATAGAAAGAGGTCCCACACCTGAGCCTTTGTGCCAAGTAATGCTTCGAGTGGGAGATCTTGACCGTGCTATAAGTTTCTATGAGAAGGTAACCTTTTTGGCTTGAACTGGGATTTCTATAGAAGTTTCTCATTTCTGTTCTGTTTGTTCCGGTGAGTTACTAATTTGTGACATTATTTAGGCATTTGGTATGGAACTTCTTCGCAGGAAAGACAATCCTCAATACAAGGTTCGTACTCTCCTGAAACCAGTACCGTGATCCACTTTATAACATCGGTTAGCTAAGTTTTCATATGATGCTTGCGGACATAAGTGTCTTTTACTTTGGTCATATAATTTAGAATACTTCAAAAGTTTATTCGAGCAATTCTTCTTGGTTCAGCACTATTGATTTAACTTTGAGATGGTAAAAGGTTTCACCTGTGGCAAGTTTGTTGTAGGCTATAGGCAAGTTTGTTGTAGGCCTTTTTCTTCTGGTGTAGACAAGCCTTTTATGGTTGTAGTAAAGGTTACTAGGCATAACTCCATGCTCGCCTAGGCACGCACGCATTAGAAGCTATGGAAGGCATAACTCCCTGTTGACTTCCTTCTGTGTTCCCTGATACCAGTCATTAGGGAGAATCTCAGATTTCCTTCCTTCTAGGTTAAATATTTGCCTTGATAACTTTAAAATGATTTACTATGCCAAGTCCAACAGGCTGCAACCACAATGATTCAACATGTAAACTTCGACATTATGCTATAACAGGCAGCAACCACAATGATTCTGCATGTAAACTTCGACATAAAAAATGCTATAACTGCTAGGTTGTATTCACATGAAACTTGTCCTTCTATGACCGAGGTTCAAACTACAAAATACCTACAATTGTATAGACAATGATTACGGACTTACGATAATGTGTGCTGCTTGTTTTGACCATGGCATTTTCATTCAGTGTAGTGTCACGTTCAAGCTGTGTGGTCAGTGACCCCATGGTTGATACACATGAAAATTCATGCAAATGTCAGAAAGCAATGTAAAATTTACAAATCATATATTTGAACTCTTAGGGTTGTAACCCTGGCACTGCCACTTCTCATTGGTTCCAGTTACCACATCTATTTGTGCAAGCACCTTCTTTTGATATTTCTCCTCTTAATAATTTTGCATCGAAATGTGCATATTCATCATCCCTTCCATGTAAACTTCAGAGAATCTTTAAAATTCGAATTGTACTCTTTCTTTAGTATACCATTGCTATGATGGGATATGGCCCTGAAGACAAACATGCTGTACTGGAGTTGACATACAATTATGGTGTCAAGGAATATTATAAAGGAAATGCTTATGCACAGGTATACAATGGTCATATTACAAGTGATGTTCCATTGTTTGCTCATGCCTCTTGCGTTACACTTCTGATGGTTGATATTTGTGTCCTTCCAGATTGCTATTGGTACTGATGATGTCTACAAGACCGCGGAAGTCGTTAGACAAAACGGGGGACAAATAACTTGTGAACCTGGTCCATTACCTGGCATTAGTACCAAGATAACTGCCTGCACAGATCCAGATGGCTGGAAATCAGTATGTGTTTATCTTGATTTGGTTTCACCATTCTCTCATTTTCTCCCCTTCATGTGTGTGGGAGTTGTATTTATTTTGAAAGATTGTCTGTTCCTGGTCTTTTTCTGTATGCCACAGCTCCTGTTACTGACCATTAGCCAACAGTTTAAGAACTACATTAAACAAAGGTTCTTTTTTTGCATTGATGTCCAAACCAAAGTAGGACAGATCTCCCAAAAAATGTGTATACTAGAAATGTGTTTTTCGTTGTGCTATTGCTCTTTATTTCACAAGTAAACCTGCAGTTTATGCTCACTGTTACACTTATTTCAATTGTAGGTATTTGTTGACAATCTAGATTTTCTCAAGGAGTTGGAAGAATGAGTTTTCAAGAAGATGTCATCTTCGAACAGGTTTCATTGGGCTTTTTCCTCGAGTTGCTAGCACCCCCCAATGAAATCTTGTAAAAGCCTCTAAGCGAGGTTTGTAGATAGGTTGTCCAATCTACTGTGTCATCGCTGGTTGTTCATAGAGAATTAGGTTTGCTACTTCTTATGATGTAGATGTGCAATCCGTTTTGTTAGCGGAGTAAAATTATATGTGCATTTTATTCTTCTGACAAGCCAGACAGTATTCCCAGGTATGCATTTGTTCCTGCATTCAGAATTTGAGATGAACTAATCTTTGCACATGAGCTCATTCTTTGCTCGTTCAAATCCTTGGGATGCCGAAGTCTTCTTCCTCTTGCATTAATTGGCGGGACGGCGTGAACAGAACTCGTTGCGATCTCTGGGCCTTCATCTCGCCAGAGCAAACTTGTTTAAATCTAGGAGCTTATAGAAGCAGCGATCAAGAAGTTGTCATGTAGACCTGAAATGCCGGCGGCCGCACCCTAGAGAAGAAAATGTTAAAAGGGCCTATAGAATGGCCGAGGTCCAGCCAAAGGAGCAAACTTTTACTTAATGCCTGTCAGGTAGTCCTCCAACTCCCAACTCCTTCAACTCCCGGTTTGGAGCTGGTCCGAACAGGGTAAATCCTTGAGTTTAGAACAAGAAGTTGGCTAGCAATTCGCAGCTTCCACTTCTTGGTAACCATTGGGCCAGGGGAATAGGAGTTGCCCGTGGGAGATTGGATAGTGATTAGACATGAGAGGTACTTAGATTTTTACTTCCATTCTTTTTTGGTATAAGTCAAGAATTAAATTGGAATAGAGCTCCACGAATTAATAAGGTACCCCATCGGAAGAAAACGGTGAGAATTAGCCATCTCAATTCCTCCTTCTCACTTAAATTTTCATTCCCTCTCGAAACTACTTTACGCACGACAGTCGTCGCACGACCCTTGCACGACGGCTGATCCAAAGGTGTTAATTCCACGCACCAGACTTGATCAAAGGCTGAGCTGACTGATCGTGCGTAAATTGTGTCGGCGTTCTGAGAACGGGGTCCCCAGACTTGCCTGCCTGTGGCCTGCGGCGTGGCTCAAAGGGGGGCCCAGCGCGGTCCATCTTCACCAACACAAACCCAAGACCCTCGCGAGGGGCCAAGCCTCGCGGGGCGGACGACGCGGAGCTTCCTCAGGCACGGCCTTGTCAGGCTGGCTCACGAGGAGGCGGAGAGATCAAGGCGGGATACCTCACGAGGTGTCCGTGACGCAAGCCATGACGACCGAGGGCGCCAGGAGGGTGCCAGCCCGCGCAGTGTCCTTCTTTCCTCTTTGGTGCAAAGGGGGCAAGCGCAGCCGCGGAGTACCGAGGTATCAGACAAAGGTTGCCATTTCGGTGCAACGAGACCAAGACTAGGAGGACTACGAGACGGAGGTCACCGTGGAGCCCAAGACGACGTCATCACCAGAGCTTTGCGCAGGCAAAGACTACTTTTGTAAGGGTAGCTAGTACTAGTTGTCCCCCTTCAAATTAGCCCGCCATTGTTGGCTTCCTTCCCGCTCGATATTTGGGAAGAGGATCAGGGCTTCTATAAATAAGACCAGCCACCCGCTAGAGAAAGAAAGAGAGAGAAAGGTGACTGAGCTCCTCCCAGCAGTTCACCGCCCCAGCCAAGAACAGACCCTCGCGAGGCTGTTCTTCCTTATATTGTTCATCATCGTCAGCCCAAGAGGCAATCCACCACACCACACACTAGAATAGGGTATTACACCACAACGGTGGCCCGAACCAGTATAAACCCTGTGTCTCTTGTGTTGTTCTTGCCATAGTTTAGATCCTTGCAAGGCGGAGGGGTGCAAGTAGGTAGGAGGCGAAATCTCCGCGCGCACCCCAGTGTTCGAACCTCAAGGGTCTGTCGGAACCCGAAATCCGACATTTGGCGTGCCAGGTAGGGGTGCGCCGGGATTCGTCTTTCACCGCCCCGTTCTCCTCCGACCATCACGCCCATGTCTGACGCTCGTCGGGCCCACGCCGAGCGCAGGGCCGCACTCGCTTCCCGCGTCGCCCAGACGGCCCCTGTCGGCGGGCGTCCTCGCCGTTCCCCGTCACCCGCCGTCAACGCCGCCACCGGCCCGGCGGGGGACGAGCAGCAAGCATCATCCCAGCATCTGTCCGTGCGGCAAGACGGCCGCGCCGCAACTCCCTCGCTCACCCCAGCTGGTTCTTCGTCCCGCGTGCTCCGCGCGCCCATGGAGCCTCGCAACCTCTTCCCCGCCCATCGTGCTGCACCAACACCCCCGGTCGTCGCGGCCCTCTTGGGCGGCTCGTAGGCGCCGCCTACACGTCACCACGTCAAGCCTTTCATCCGCCGGGTTAGCGCTGCTTCCACGCGGCAGGGGGCTCCCCTGGACCGAGCGGCGCCCGAGACTGGCCTGACCTTCAGCTCGGAGGACCACCCCTCCAACTCGGCCTGCTCAGGTGCGCTCCTCATGCTGTGCACCCCCACCATCTGCCAGGTGGCCGTCACCAAAACCCTCATTGATGGCGGCGCGGGCCTCAGCATGCTCTCGGTCGAGGCCTTCAACCTCCTCTGCATACCCCTGGAACGGCTGCAACCCAGCCGGCCCTTCTCAGGCGTTGGAGGCAAGTCGTCCAGCTCCTTGGGACAGATCCGGCTCCCAGTAACCTTCGGCACCTACGATAACTTCCGCACGGAGCTGGTCGACTTCGACATCGCCCCCATCGGCCTCTCCTACAACGCCATCCTCGGCTACCCAGCGCTGGCCCAGTTCATGGCCGCGACGCATCCGGCGTACAACCTCATGAAGATGCCCGGGAGCAGCGGTGTCCTCACTGTGCATGGGGACACCGGGGACGCGCTGCGGGTGCTCAAGCTCGCCTTCAAGATGGCGGCGTCGGCATAGCCCGCCGACTTGGAGAACCCCGGGCCCAAGGGGGCTGCACCCGCCAAGAAGAAACAGTTGTTCACCCAAGACAAGGCAGAAACCAAGCAGATACCCGTCGATGAGGACGGGTCCACCAACGCCACTTTCACCATAGGCGCCCACCTCAAACCCAAGCAGGAGAAGGCCCTGGTCGGGTTCCTGCGTGCGAACAGGAAGGTATTCGCTTGGGAGCCTAACCAGTTGGCAGGGGTCCCTAGGAGTGTAATCGAGCATCACCTCAACGTGTGCCCCAACATGCGCCCTGTGAAGCAGAAGGCCAGGCGGCAGTCCACAGAAAAGCAGGCCTTCATCGTCCAAGAGACCCGCAAATTAGAAGCCGATGGGTCATTCGCGAGGTCCGATACCCGGATTGGTTGGCCAACCCTGTCATTGTGCCAAAGAAGGAAGGGAAGGAGCGCATGTGTGTCGACTTCACCAACCTCAACAAAGCATGCCCGCAAGATCCGTTCCTGCTCCCCCGCATCGACCAGATCGTCGATTCCACTGCGGAATGCGACCTGTTATGCTTCTTGGATTCCTTCTCTGGGTATCACCAGATCAAGATAGCGGTAGAAGACGTCGAGAAGACAACCTTCTTAACCCCGTGTGGGGTGTACTGCTACACATGCATGCCATTCGGGCTGCGTAACGCATGGGCGACCTTCCAGCGGCTGATGCACATCACCTTGGGCCCGCAGCTCGGGAAGAATGTTGAAGCTTACATCGATGACATTGTGGTAAAGTCTCGGGAGGCCAGGACCTTGATACAAGACTTGGAGGAAACCTTCGTGAGCCTCAACGCAGTGAACCTATGGCTCAACCCGGAGAAGTGTGTGTTCGGAGTCCCCTCGGGCAAGCTCTTGGGTTTCCTCGTGTCCCACCGAGGCATCAAGGCTAACCCGAAGAAGGTCAAGGCGGTGGAATACATGAGCCCGCCAAAGACCCTCAGAGAAATGCAGAAGCTCACGGGGCGCGTGACCGCGCTAGGGCGCTTCATCTCCAAGTTGGGGGAACGAGCACTGCCCTTCTTCTAGCTAATGAAGAAAAAGGGGCCCTTCGAGTGGACTGAAGAGGCCGACAAGGCGTTCCAGGATCTCAAGAGATACCTGACCAGCCCACCGGTCATGGTGGCTCCGCGGCCTCAAGAGCCCCTGGTGCTTTACCTCGCCGCCACTCCCTACTCCGCCAGCGCAGTCTTGGTGGCTGTCAGAGAGGAGCGCCGAACAGGGACAAGGCAGAACAGGGACAAGGAAGGCCTACAGAAACTGCCACCGCGGCTGAGGAGGATCAGCCGCCGCAGAGGAGCGCACCGGAGGCGGAAGAGGCCCCTCTTCCAGATGGCCAGTCTCAGGAGGCCTCATTACCTCAAGAGGCGCCATGGTCTCCGAAGGGAGCCACCAGCACTGACGCACTCCACCTCGTCGAGCACCCAATGTACTTCGTCAGCACGGTGTTGCGGGATGCAAGGGCACGGTACCCCATGCCTCAGAAACTCCTCCTCGCGCTACTGATGGCCTCGCGCAAGCTGCGGCATTATTTTTAGGGTCATCCCATCAAGGTCGTCTCGTCATACCCCCTGGAGAGAGTGCTCAGGAGCCCTAATTCAGCTGGAAGGGTCGCTGAGTGGAACATAGAACTGCAAGCGTTTCAGCTCGAATTCAGCACGACCAGAGTCATCAAGGGAGCAGCGTTGGCGGATTTTGTGGCAGAATGGACGGAGGCGCCAGGCCTCAAGGCCGACGAGGATCGGTCCCTGTCCCCGGGAAGTGAGGCGCCAGAAGGCCGGGTCATGTACTTCGATAGGGCGTTCTCCAGGCATGGCGCTGGGGCTGGGGCGGTGCTTATATCGCCCACTCAGGACATGCTCTATTACGCCGTGCAATTCTGTTTCCAGCAAGGTGAAAAGGTCTCCAACAACAAAGCGGAGTATGAAGGTTTAATAGCGGGCTTGAAGGCCGCGGCTGCCCTGGGGGTGAAACGCCTCACCATCAAGGGCGATTCGCAGCTCCTTGTCAATTTCTCCAACAAGGTGTATGAGCCGAAGGATGAGCACA